GTAGCGTCCATAATTGTATGAGGTATGCTTTTATGTGACTGGCAGCACAGTAGGTTTATATCACCACCAACAAGTGACTAGTACAATGGCTATGAGATCCATAGATGATGGGAATTTTTCAGTTCCATTATAGTATTACAGGACAACTGTCATCTGTGTATTCTGTCCCTAACCAAATACTGCTGTACAGTGCATTACAAGGACTTGGATTGCAGTCTGAGCTCCACTACTGGGGTACCTAGTAATTGAGATAGGCTCTGCCTTCCTGATTTTTCTGGGATGCTCTAATAGGAAGTATTAGAAAAGGCCAAGAATTATTTTAAATAACATTCCTACTTCTTAGCTCTCACTTTCAGCCCTTCATCAGTTATGCTGAAGCCAGTGATCTGTGTAGCATGGTCTGATGGGTTTCAGCGGCAGCGTCTCCCCTCCCAGTGAAGTTCCTTAGAAAGCCAGTACCTGGGCCACCTGGAGGCTGCATGAGCACGTACAGACTGTCATTAGAACAAGGTGTTATTTGGCCTTGAAAAATACTTTGGGAGACCTGTTTTTTAGTAGCTAAAGGCTCACTGATATCCCTGATGTGGTGTCTTATTCAGAAGCCCTTTTCTGCTGTCAGTTTCTGTCTTTTGATATTGTTAAAGAGACTCGACAAATATATGTTATATCTTGGCTGTTCATAAGCATATGGAGAAAGTTTTCTTAAATTTTAAGACCATACAAATCCAAAAATTTCTTGTCATCACTTTGTAGTATTCACTGCAAGTTTTTATTCAGGGGTCCCCAATTTAACACTGCTTTCAAAACTGGTCAGTCAGAAGCTTACTGAGAGGGGAGAGAAGGGAGAGTCCAAATCCAGTTACAGTAGAATAATAGGCATGCTCCATCCTTTCCTTCTACTCACTTCAGCCAGAAATACTGCAAAATATGTACAGTACCTCTTTCAGGTTCAAAAGTAAATGGTAGCAGGCAGATTGAGGAAGAAAACCAAAAGGCAAATTATGAAAGATCCAGCCCCAATTTTCCTGTTTTGTGTTTTTCACTTACCTCTCCTACCTAGATTTAAAGGCAGCAAAAAAAGCCCAGAACTACACTCATTGCCAACAGACAGAGCTTCAGAAGAATCCCATGCATGGTGGCTCATGTCTATAATCCCAGGTATTCAGAAAGCTGAGGGAGGAGGATTGCATGTTTGAGGCCATCATGATCAACTTGGTGACACCCTGTCTCAAAACAAAATTTATAAAGAGCCGGGATGTAGCTCAGCATTCCCTGGGTTCAATCCCCAGTATGATAAATAAAAATAAAAAGAATCATTTCTCTCTGGCCCAAGGAAAAGAAGGAACAAAAGCTGTCCTGGAACAGATATCCAGAGAGACCCTCCCCATTGCCTTGCTAACCCTGTGAACATTTTTTCCCCCTGTGAACATTTTTAATGCTAGACTTTTTCTATGCATATTTTAATTCTAGACTTTTTCTATACATAGTTTTTTTTTTGAAAACAGTTATGTTTACCAAACATTTTATTTCCTGGTTTTCCCTCTTAATAGACAAAAATATTTACAGCATAAACTTCCTGCACAATCATGATAAAGTTATTTTTTAGTAATTTATTAAGTAGTCACATCCTGGGTCATTGTTTCTCAAAGTTACGAGTCCATTTGAACCACCTGATTCTGAGTCAGTAGGTATAGTTGAGGACTTGAGAGTGTGTTTGCATCAGACTATCCATCTTGCCAACATTGTCCCTGTCCCATGATTTGAATTGCAAGGGAGTAGCTATATACCAGTCCTTTCCTAGATTGTTTTCAGTTTGCTGCCTTTTATGTTACAGTGGGATGTTTGTCCAGGAAGCTTTTCTTCATACTGGGGATCATTTTGAGGGAGACTCCTGGAAGCAATATAACTGGGTCAGAGGCTATAGCTGCTTAAATTGCTGATTAGCCATGATGGCTTTTTTTTTTTCCTCAGAGATTTTCCCAGTAGGCATAAGTATGCCCTTCCCAATTGTAGACAAGAAAATTAATGCTTATCGTGGTTCCACTGCCTAGGGTCATGCAGCAAATCATTGGGAGAGCTGTGATTTTTACCAGTGTATATGATCCAGGCTGGTTCTTCCTTCTGCTTTATTGGCAGCCTCTGCTTTAAAGGAGTCTTTGTACCTGCCTAATCATTGGTGTTTTCTTGTTTTTACAGCTTTGCCAACTTGACATGGGAAAACATAAGCTCCTGTAAATGTTAATTTTTATTTCTATTTGACCGAGTTTATACCTCCATCTGGTCATATCCCCTGTCTTTTTATAAATTTTGTTTCCAGAGTCAGTCTTGTTTTACTTGCATTCTATATGCTGTGTACATGGTAAAAATATTGTTTCTGCTGCAGTTTTATAATTTCTCTTGTACTTGTTAGCTTTTTTATATATAATTCAAATGTTTTATATACAGTAGTTATAAAAGTCCATCGTCTCGTTTCTCATTAAGTTTAACACTGTCTTCCCCTTGCATAATTTTGGCAAACATGGGAAGATGTTCTAGAAAAAAAGCTTAGGGGTTTTAGGGACACGTGTAAGAAATGCAAAATGATTTTTTTGATGTTTTCCTCAGTAACATTTACTTCCTCTCCCCTCGCCCTGCTGCAGCATACAGTCTCCCCTATGGAGATTTTCCTGCTAACATGAGAGGGAAAATTAGGGAATGATACTGCTTTCAGAATATGATTTATACTTTTCAAAACAGAGGTAATTTGGAGAATAACTTGAAATAATGAAAAATGAAAAGATCCCAAAGTGTTTTGCAATACTTTTCTTCTACATATTATCCATTATGACAAAACTAAACCACACTTTTAATTTGAGACTAAAGTTTTATCATGTTTATGTAGACATGCAGTTTAAAAATGAAACTGTTCTACTAATCATATTATGAAAAACAGTAATCTGGCCCTGATTACCTTCTAGCCCCTTTTCCTACTTTCTTTTAACTCTTTCTTCTGAATCTTGTTATATTTACTATAATATCTTTAACTCTTTTCACAGACTTTTTTATGTGTATACCCTCACATCTCTTGAGTGCAAAGGATTCAGTGTCCTTTTGTGGCTTTTCTTCCTTCCCCCATTCCCCACTTTTACCACCTGTATTCTTGCCTCCCCTCTGTAGTACTCTGTCTACTGTTGAGCACAGTATCTATGATGTGCATTATTAGAGTTCTGGAAATCCTGTTCACAGCCAAACCATATAATTTCCTTCCTATAGTTACTTTTCCTTTTCTGTATATTATTTTCCTATAGGGTTAATAATTGCCTTGCTTTTTGCTTTAGTAGTTTTCTATGTACTTATTCACCTCTAAGTTAGGACTCTTCTCGATCTGTCAGACCCATTGCCTGTTTTATTTGTGTGTCATCCTGGAGACATTTCTCTGGAGCCTTGAGGCTGCTCCCCATCCAGCTTAGCTTATGGTCCTCCCTTTCACTGGTGCCCTACAAAGGCTATGTCTTCTCTATGTTTACTTGCTTTGTAGACATACTTTCTATAACTCCTACAAAAGAGCATGTATGTGATAAGCATTTTTTTAATTTTTATTTTTTATTAATACAAAATGATTACAATTCCTCATAGGGAGTTGGTACATGTGCATAACTACATGACACATCTTGATTCTTTTTCATCCCCTTGCTCTCCCCTTCTTCCACCTCCCTCCATCTTTTGGTCCCCTCCCTTTTGCAAAAGTTTTACCTCCCTATTTTCTATTACCTATCCTTTTCTTTGCTCTTTATTTATACTGATAAATATCTTAAAATTGTGTGTGTGTGTGTGTGTTTGAAGGCTTTAGTTTATCACTGAGCTTATGTATAGTTGTAATAAGAATTCTAAGTTGGAAATCATATTCCTTAGAATTTGAGGGCATTTTCCCAAAAGCCTTCTTTTTTCCAGTGTCACTTTAGAAAAGTCTCAATTCTACTGATCCTTTATCTAAAGCTGGTTTTTAATCTCTAGAAACTCTAGTGTCTCTTGTTAGTCTCCAATTTCTAAAGCTCCCTGGCACTGAGCCTTGCCATGTAGGGCAGTTTTCTCCTGGTGTGCTGTGCGCTCAAGGATCTCTTTGAATTGAAATATTCCTATCTTCTGTGGTCTGTGCAGCCTGTCATCCTCAACTAGAAACCTTGGAATGACTTTTTGTGAAGGAAAATTACAATGAACTGTGCTTTTCCCAAAGCTGGAATGTTATCAGTTAGATGTTGTAAAGGGATCATGGTGATTAAATTGACCAACTAGAATTTAAGAGTGCTGACAAACATAAAATACAGTTGTTCACATATCTTATTTGACAGAACAAACATAAGGTCAACAAGCAGGTTATTCTTGTATCCATTTATTACTCTAGCCGTGGTCCGAGTGACCCACGAGCAGCTCTCTTCTTGATGATGGTGCTCCCCTTCTAGGAGTGTTCTAAAGGTTCAGCCTCAATTTTACAGTCTTGCATCAGGGGCAAATAGATTAATATATTACCTTTCCCACACTACATAGTGTTTTTTAATTTGAGAAGATTGATAACACATCTTACTGAGTCCTTTGTTTCATGCATGTCACTATCCCAGCCTTCAGGTGCTTTAGCTAAGTTGGTAGAGTGTGTACTATGCCGAACATAGCAAAAAATATATCTCCAATTTTTTCTGGGAGATTTAAATTTTCTTTTTCCAAAGCAAATCTGATGAATCAGTTAATCCCATCAGTTTTTCTCTGTTGTATAATTTTTAAAAATTGGATAAACATCTACTGAAATGTGCTAGAAAAAATCCTGATTTGTAGGGAAAGTTCTGGAGCCAAATTCTTCACCTGTTGGGCCTGTTTCCAGGAACTGCCTGCAGAATGGTAAACATTGAAGAGGCCAGCTTCATGGGAGGGATTTTCGATGTCTTAATAAAGTCTAATTCTGGATATAAATAATAATCATATCATACTCTCCTGTGGTCTGATGATCTTGTTTTCTCCTTTCTTGGCAGCTTTTTGGTGACTGGGAAGCCCAAGTGCGAAGAATAATGAAGCTAATTGCTGGAGGTGGTTTGTCTATCACTGGTTCTCACAACATGTGTGGGGACTATCTGTACAGCGGGCACACGGTCATGCTAACACTCACCTACTTATTTATCAAAGAGTGTAAGTCTGAAACCGTCCTCCATTACAGTTTCCTCACTTGCCATTTCCCAGGGTCTCTGGGCCTTGGGAAAACCACATTTTGTGGAAAGTCTGCTGAAGCCAGACGGGAAAATTCAGAGGCTGGCAACCTCATCTTGTCCTGCCTAGGATGCAGTCTGTGCCTAGGGAAGTGGCAGAAGAATGCAACTGTGCTTCTGGAGGAGGTTTCTTGTTTCCTGTAGAGCTGGGCTAGAGGCATTTTCCAGCAGAGCGTGCAGGTGTGTCACAAGCCAGTGATACAACTGCTGTAAAGGAGGCAGGAGGAAAGCAAGACGTGATTGGATGAGAGAAGATACTGTTTCGACCGAGCAGCCATTTTTTTAAGCACTCGACACTATGCTGTATGGTGAGGGTACTATGACAGGTCAGGTGATGACATCTCCCCTCAAAAGGCTCAGCAGTGAGACAGACACCACATGGGAAATTTCTTTTAAGAAGAGTACTTAAAATATTTTATTGTGAAACAAACAGTGTTGTAGATGCCCATATACACTGTTCAAATTTAAAATATATTAGCATTTTGCCATGTTTGCTTCAGATAACCCTTTTACAAAAGAAAAAAGTATAATACAGTATATGATTAAAACTTTTTCATCCCCATCCACCTCTTATTTTCCTCTGTTGTTTCCACGTTTCTGTGTTGTTTTGTAGTTTTTAAATTTTACATAAATAGCATCATGCTATGTATATTCTTCTGCCTCTCTTTACTCCAAATTATGTTTTTGACAACTGAGACTTTGTTCATTCATTTTAACTGCTGCTAGTATGCTTCAAGTACTATAAATGAACCACAGATCACTTATTTATTTCTCTATTTATAGAAAATTCAATTGTCCTTAATATTTTACTGTTAGAACCAGTCTAGTAAGCATTATACAATCAGTTCTCAAGAAGAGCAATAAGTAAAACCAGTCTGCTGTGCTTTCATCGAGGAGGGATGTATGTTGCAATCTGACAGTATTTTGGGAGCATTTGGCACTTTCTGGAAGTTTAGAGGTTGGAATTCAGAGTGGCAGTAATAATGAGAAGTGAAAATGGCCTGATAAGTAGGAATCAGATCATGGAGGGTGCTCTGAGCCACACAGGAGTCTGAACTTCCCTCTCATGGAGATGAGGTATTTATTGAAGTGTTAAGACCAATGGAGCAGTGTCAACATATTTGCGCTTTAGAGATCATACTCTTACAGCAGTTTGCATGTTGGACTGGAAAGGGTCAAGCCTAGAGACCAGGAGAACAGTTAGGTGATTGGCTCCTGCTATAACCAAAGAAAGAGATGGTGATGGCTTGAACTACCATGGTAGCATCAGGGATGGAGAGAGGTGAAGGATGCTCAGAGAGATTAATACAGAAGAGTCAACAGATAACATGGATAGATTATGGGAGTAGAGGAGAGGGGTGGCAGAGTAGATACAAGCCCAGTTCTGGTCTTAGAAACTTAAAATACAAAAACAGAGAAGAGAAAATGTGCTAGAGGGCAATGAGAGAGAGAAGGTAGAATAGATATTCTACTTGAAGTTAGTATGTGATCAGATATAGTGAATTCTAGCAATGCTTGTTGACGATCCACAGGCATCATCTAGCCATTGTACTGGATGTAACCAAATGTGGAAAATGGGAGCCTTGGAGGCCAAGAACAGGTGGATTCCTGCCCCCTGCTGGTTGACACCTGAAATCTTTTAATCATGTCAAGGTTTATACATTGTACCACATTGGGAAACACAGGGACCTTGGGTCACAAAACTCTGAGCTTGAATCCTGATGCTATCATTTCTTAGCTCTGTGACTCTGGAAAAAATATTTAACTTAAGTCTTTGTGAACAGAGTTGCACAGAAATAATAATAGCTGCTATTGTATTGTTAAAGTATCAAGTACAGGTATTACTAGGTTCTACTCCCACCCTCACCATACTCTATTTAAAATTGCAAATTGCCCATCACTTCTGAACCCCTTATCCTGCTTACCTACTTTTTATTTTTCCATAGCCTCTACTATCCCCGATACAGTATACAGATTAGTGATCATGATTATAGTCTTGTCTCTTATGCTTCTTAGGAGGGAATCTACCTACAGAGGCAGATCTCTGCCTGCTTTGTTCATTGATCAAGATACCCAGAGCAGTGCCTATCCCTGGCATAATGCTTAGAGAAGATTGATTAAATGAGTGGTTCTTGGACCTCTTGGGAATCCAAGAAAAATCTGAACCTTCTCCTGTGGTGTTCTACCTTTTGGGAGACATTTGATCCTCTAATATTTGTATTTGGGAAATAAAAATCTCAAAAATTTAGATGAGTGTATAGTTGCAGAAATTGGAAAGTAAATCAGTGGTTAAATCAATGATAATTGTGTAATCTGTATATAAAGATCTATGGATGAATAAGTATTGGTTTTTGTATAGAGCAGTGGTGGCAAACCTAAGGCACACATGCCACAAAGGGCACGCAGAGCCCTCTCCGTCATCATGAAAGCCAAGTCGCCCCAGCAGCTGAGCATCAAGTAACAGTTGTTTTTTTCTAAACTAAAACATCAGTGTTGAGTGCAGTGTTGGCACTTTGCGATAAATAAGTGGGTTTTGGGTTGTGCTCCATCTCTAAAAGGTTTGCCATCACTGGTAGAAAGCATTAACCCCAAATTATGAAGAGGTGAATTTAATTAAATATCAATGGATAGTTTTTTAGCATGAAGCATAATACGTTAACCTGACCTTTTTGATTAGACTCATCTTGTAAACTGTATTTGTGATTATATGAATCAAGTACAGTAAGTCCCTGACTTATAAATGACTTCTGTTCTTGGAGAATGTTGCTAAGTCTGATTCATTCATAAGTCTGTTAAAGTGGGCCTTACACACCTTTCACACAAATATACAGTGTATATTGCTTTATGCTTCCTACCAATCCCCTCCATATCACCACTGCTTTTCCTCTTGCTTCTGGTCATCCTGGGCTCTGATTGAGCACTGTACTACTTGTACACTACCACACAGAAGCACAACTGTGACAATGTCTGACTACTTCTAGGATTTGTTCACATCTACGAATGTTTGTAATGTGAGGTCAATTAGTATCTGTGAAAGTTTGAAGCTTGAATGTTTTTAAGTTGGGGACTTACTATAATAACCAAATATGAACTATTATTGCTAGAAAATAACTTTATAGACAGCTGTTGTAGCCTTGGTTACAGATAAGATCGCAGAGATTTACCCCAAGAGATTTGCTTTCAGAAGGAAAGATCTAAGGAAATTGAACTCAGAAGTACTGTATGCAGTAGGAGCACAGTTGAGTGCTCTTAGTGTTTTTGAATCATAGGACAATTGCAAATTTCTCCTCTTTTTCAGATTCCCCTCGACGACTCTGGTGGTACCACTGGATTTGCTGGCTTCTCAGTGTCGTTGGAATCTTCTGTATTCTCTTAGCGCATGACCACTACACTGTGGACGTGGTGGTGGCATATTACATCACCACAAGACTCTTCTGGTGGTATCACACTATGGCCAATCAGCAAGTGAGTTTTCTCCCCATTTAATTTTAGTTTCTCATGCTCCTGGTTGGTACTACTGGCTTGAGGAGGGGAGAGGGCAGAGGAGCAAGGAATCTACAGAAGTCTTTAAGTTTCTTTTTCTTAGTAGAGAGCTAAGATTTTTCTGTCTCTTGTGATATTGATCTTCAGAATCAAAATGAAAAAGTGTGTTAGTATAATGACATAGGAGCTGGGCATGATGACATATACCCATGGTGGTATAATCCCAGCTACTTGGGAGGATCACAAATTAGACTGCATAAGACTGCTTTAATTGTTTCCCGTAGATTCCAATATGTTGTATTGTCATTGTCATTTAATTGTAGGAACTATCTGATTTCTTCTTTAATTTTCTCTGTGACTCATTGGTTATTCAGAAGTGTTTTGTTCAATTTCCATGTGTTTATGAAATTCTTGCAGTTCCTTTTGCTATTGATCTCCAGTTTCATCACACTATGGTCTGATAATATACAGGGGATAACTTCAGTTCCTTTGCACTTACTTAAACATGTTCTATGAGCGAGTGTGTGGTCTATTTTGAAGACTGGCCTATGTGCACCTGAAAAGAATGTGTATTCTGATTTTGTGGTGTGGAACACTCTGTAAACATCGGTTAAGTTCATTTGTTCAAGAGTTTGATTGACTTCTAGTATTTCATTGCTTGTTTTTCGTCTAGCTGATCTATCTATTTATGACAGTGGGGTATTGTGGTCCCCCACTACTATTTTATTAGTGCTTATTTGATTTTTTGTGTCCATTAGTATTTGTTTTATATAGTTGGGCTCGCTAGTGTTTGGTGCATAGATATTTATGATTGTCATCTCTTTCTCTGGGATTGTTCCCTTTACACGGATGTAGCGTCCTTTTGTCTCTCTCAATGAGTGTTGGTTTGAAATCCACTTGATCTGCAAAGAGGATAGCTACTCCTGCTTTTTTTCAGGTTCCTGTCGCATGGAGTATTGTTTTCCACCCTTAAACTTTCAGTCTATGCATTTCTTTTTGAATTGTTTCTTATATGCAGCATATTGTTGGATCTTGCTTCTTGACCCATTCTGCTAGTCTTTTTTCTTTTGATTGGTGATTTGAGACCATTAACATTGATGGTTATAACTGATATGTATTTATACTTATCATTGTCATGACTTTTTCTTTTTGTTGGATTCTCCCCCCTTTACATTTAATTTCTTGTCATGCTGGATGGATTCTTTCTGCTGGGCTTCCTGGGATTATGATCGTCATTGTCTTTTCCTAGGATATTGTCTAAAAATTTTTGGAGTGCTGGTTTGGTATTCATGAAGTTCCTAAGGTGCTCTTTGTCATGAAAGTATCTTATTTCTCCATCAATTTTGAAA